GAAAAAAATAAATGCCCCCCCCCCCCCCCCCCCCCGGAGGGAAGAAACTTCAGGGTGAAGGACCGACGCTCAACACCCTCCCCTCCCCCAACCCCCGAGGCGACGCTGCACGAAGTGTAAAACTCGCTACATGTGCCTCGTTATGTGCGAGAGGTGAAGGAGCGTGAGGCGCGCTGAACTGTATGGGAAAACGTAATAGGCGCGTCGCCCCCTCCAGACTGGGCTTTGGCGCCCCCTCTGGTGCTGCGCCCCTATGCGTTGCATACGCTGCATACCCACTTTTTGCGCCTCTGAACGTAGCCATTCTCATATTTCCCTCCCCATCGAAACGCCCATTACTTTTTCTTTCCCCCCATTTTCTCAGCTCGACTTGGGGTCTCATCTTGACTCAGTTTGTTAGGTGACGTTAAACCGAGCGTGTCAGAGTCAGGGGCTAAAATTAACCCAATCAGCCTAATCTAGGAGCTTGTAAACAGGGGAGCTCACAGCGAGCGATGAGACTCACGCAGCCTCCTCTGCGCAACGCGGCGCAGTGCTGCTGTTCAGTGGCTGGGAGCAGACACAGCACTCTTCATTAAACCTCAGCTTGTGACAGTTGTGACGTGCGATGATTGTGATATTGTTACCAATGGCAGATGTGAAGTGAAAAGACGTTCAAAAGTCCGTCCGCAAACCACAAACAGCGGTCGTTTACACTCATTTGCGTTTCCATGGTGCTAAACAGAGAGCTTTTTTATTTATTTATTTTTTCTCTCTGCTTTTACAAGTCGTTAATTTTAACATCTGCCTCATCACTTTTTGGAGAGACTGTCAAGAACTCGATAGTATCAGAAAGGCTACACTTTAGAAATGAATAATATTAACAACAACAAAGATAACCAGAGAAGTAATTACATTTTTTACGAAGTTTTTTTTTTTTAAACAAACTAACCAATCCTTTTTGTTGTTGTTTCGTCACACTCCTAAACATAAACTTAAAGATTTGTCCGCTTCCCGGATCTAATTTCCTCCCTGTGCTTCAAGTCGGAGTGGATGCGCCAGAGGGGAGCGGAGTGCTCATAAGGGAGGGACGAACCAAGTCAAGTTTGGATTCAGGAGCGCACGGCCACAGCGAGAGCGACGGGAGACACGGAACATCTTCTCATTCTGTTCCATCTTATTTATTTCCCTCATTGACCACACTGACTGCTGTCCCGGCCTTTTTTGTTGTTGTTGTTATTTTTTGGAATTAAAGGGGGATCCTTGATTGGGCACACAGGAGGAAAAGGATGAAGCCTTCCCTGGGGTTGACTTTGATGTTTCTTCTGATCGATTTGCAGACTCAAGGTAAGTGGTCTTTGCCTAAAGCAGGGCTGCAGATCGGCTAGATTTGAAGCTTTTAAAGCGCGATCACGAGTTCAGATTAAAATTGATCGGGTTAATTAAGCAAGGCGTTACGCGCTCTGCGCGCTTCTGAGCCTGTTTAGCGCGCATCTTTTCTTCATGGCCACGAAGAATCCCTCCTCTTAAGTTTTGTTTGAATCTTTTAGTTGCTGGAAGTTTTAGCCTCTTGCTTTGCGTTTCTTCTCAAATCACCACGCACCAAAACAGCCCCATTTAGATCCTAATTATGAACATTAAAACTGCTCCCATTGACACAAACTGGGTCACTGAGATGGAAAACAGAATGTTAGTGAAGGCAAATGAATTTAGATGAATGCAAATTTTGCTCCGAGGCAAGATTTTATGAAGCCATGCAGATTAATAATCTCTTTAGAGGACGTGTCACCCCCCCTAACCTACCCCCTCTTGGTGAGGTGCTGATTTATACAGGGCACATTGTTTACTCTGGCAGAGGGTAGATGGGATGTCTTCAGTCAGGAGACTGAGTCAGCTGAAGGCATATGATATAAAACCTTCTCACAGCGCTGAATGTCACCGCATAAATATGATGACCTTAGTTACTCACAGTTATGGCTAAACTATAAAAACAGTTTTCGGAAAAGATGGGAGTGTTTGCACATAGATTTGTAAGTCATTTGGATGTGTACACACAGGTTTCCTTTAGTCTGTGAAATTATTCGTCATAAGAAGAAAGAAGCTGGTTTGTTTTCAAGAAAATTGAGACTTGGGGGGGAACAAAAAGAAGGTCAGAAACACGGTTTCGGCTGAAGGAAGAATAAAGAGTCAATTTTGAAAAAAATAAATGAAGACTATCTGGAAAAAGTCATAGCATGAAAAAGGAGCAACTGTCAAGAGTAGTGAAAGGAGGAACAAAAAATAGACTGATGATGCCAGGTAGAGGAAGTAGACAATAAATTGTCTCATCAGGTCAAAAATGAAAGGAAATGAATGCGATTCGGGTGTGGAGAAGATTTGTAGTGAAAAGGTGGGATAAAGGGAAAATGATCTGAGGATCCTGGAAACCAACCAGAATCCTAATCGCTGACCATTGATGGAGTAAACTTGGTTCTGACCTGCAGGAATGTTTGCAGTGTAGAAGCATGGCGTATCAAAGTCTCATGGTAAACATTTACACCTGGAGCAAAAACAGCAGATGTCTGATTCACCATCATCATGGTCTGTCTTTTGGTTTATCATCTTTCACATAAACCCTAACAAGAATATTCACTCCTCCTTTCCCTGTCTCCAGTGGTTTGATTCCCTCTTTTCTCTATAGAAGAAAAGAATGAAAAGAATGATTCATTCATCGCCATGGTAACTGAAATGTTGTCCCTCTGATTTCACACACGAGTCCACTTGGATTTCATTTGTCGGTTGTACATTATTGTTTTTGATTATATAATGAATTAACAATACTGATGGAAATCAGTTACCTTCCCTTGTTTTAGCGGTACCAAAGAAATGTCTTTTTTTTATTCATGCAACTGTATGTATTTTGTCACACTTTTCTCACATTGTGAGTAAAATTTCTGTGATTTAATATTTGTTGTCTTTTCATATTGTTAAGCTCCAGTTTCAGGGAGTGATTCTGCATTATTTTTTTTGCCTCTCATTGTTTGGTTTCATTTCAAACTTAGTGTTAGTGTTCATGTTATGTTTTTGTTTTTTCCCCAAAGGATGTTATCGCTTTGCATCTATTGATGGGTTCTCTTTCATTGCATAAGTCTCACATGGGATCACTTCACAGCCATATGTTTTTTTTTTTTTTTTTTTCCATAAATTTAGTTATATTTAAAAAGTGTTTTTTTGGGGTTTTTTTTTTTTACTCTACTGCCTTTAGTACGAAGGTTTAAATGTATCTGAATGAGCGAATGAATGAATTACTGAATAAATAATGGAGCAGACTGACCCAGAAGAAAACATGATACGCATCATTACAGAATCCCAAAGAGAGAGAAACAAAATTATTTGAATAATTTCTTCTGACAAAAGCAATTAAGGTCTCAGTAATGATCCACTTATTTAATTACCAGCAATGACCACAAATGAATGATTAACACTCAGAAACGCAGGAGCTGCTCTTCAGAGTTAGTGGTGTTACAGATACATTTGGAGCAACATAGAGATATTTTCTTTTCGCGTAATCTTTAGCTTCCAACTATAGGAAACAGACAGTCCCTCGTCCTCCGCAAGCAGAACTTGTGCACTCAACAAACTTTTTGACCGCAGGAAAATGTTTGTTTTGTGGGAGAGTATGCCACGCTCATGTATTATGCAACATCAGACCACCGACTGATGCACTGCGATTGAGCGATCAATGTGAGGGTTGTTCCTTACGTGGAAGTAGACATCACTTCTTTTTCTTCACAGCTCGATGCAGACGTGGAGGATGTTTCGTTGTGACTTTTATGCAGATTTAATTACATAAACAAACAAACAAACAAACAAAAAAAAACAGAAACTGAATATCCATAGATGGTGCAGAGTAATGACACCTGAGGTGATTTTAAAGTTAAACAATGTGGGCATGTTTGTCTAACTGCTCATTGTGTTGAAACAGAGGCATTCGGATTTAAATGCATGACTGATGATCCGGGGAGCTGTGATGTGTGTGTGTGTGTGTGTGTGTGTTCAGTTGTGTGGTAACAAGGTTAAAGTCACAGTATTTATAAAGCAGCAACACAGAACAAAAGGGTGTGTGGTATTTTTTATTTTTTACAAACTGAGTCACAAAGGTATATCCTGCTGCAGCCCTCACAGTTTCACTGCCACTTTTCGACTTGCTTCTTACATCAATTTACATTTTAACACAACTTCTCTAGATGCCACATTTGAGGCTGGTTTGACTTTGCAGATAATTCTGGAAGCAAAGAGCAAAGATTTCTGACTCATTTAAGGTTTGATTTAGAGGTAATTATTATCTTCCAGTGGGAAAAGCAAAACTTTAATGAAACCTTTTTAAATTCAAGTGACCTACTATTGAGCTAACTCAGCTTATGTAGAATTTCAATTTGTCATTAATAATTTATGGCATTTAACAAATAAGTAATTCTGACTGATCTGAAACAAAATAAGTTTAATGTGATTTCCCTTCACATGGTAAGAAAAATATCATTTATTCACTGCATATAAACATTTGGTTTCAACTGTAAGCTTCTGAATTTGAAGAAAACACAAATTAAAAAAATACTAAAGATCTTTCTTATTTTATTTATTTATTTTTTTTAATTTTTTTTTGCTTTTAACCAAAATCAAACTATCTAATGATTTCCATACCAGTTTCATCCTGATAAGAGAAGCAGTGTTTATCTTTGATGATCAAAAGAGAAAAGCTATTATGGGCAGATCTTCTTGGAAGGATATAAAGAGACTTAACCTGCTGAGTTTGTGTGCTGCATTTATTTAGCTTCTCTTTTTCGTTTTACTCTTCTTTTACAACCTTAAGATCCCAGCACAACACTTCACTCGCAAGTCTCTGAGGTTCAGAAGCTGTCGTCCTTTTGTTCTTCAGCTTTGTTCTCTTTTCTTCGGGTTTCCCTGCACAGCTGAACCCCTTGCGTTTGCTACCGGCGTGTCTTAATCATAAATATGCATTGTTTTGTGAGAGATGAAGACCTCCTCATTTATGCCCATCTATGTTTCCCTCCCTCTGTGCGTCTCTCTTACTCACTCTGCTTTAAAAGCATTTGCACGCTCAGGGGAGAATGGAGGCCAAATGGCTCCCTAACGCAAGCCTTCAGCACGACCCATAAAATGTTCTCTTGTTTTCCGTCACTTGCTGCATCTCATCCCCAACTTCCAAATGTCAGCGAGACTGTAAACCGCGTTTTCCTCCCAGTAAAAGCTCCAAAGATGCAGGAGGATCTCCATGCATTAATCTCTTTGGGTCAAGTTGAGGTCAAATTGGCACTGAAAACATTTATTTTCGCTTTTTAAAATTGGAATGTTAACAGCATCTACTCAAGGATGCAGCACTTAAACTATATGCTTCTTCTAATTTTTCTTCTGGTTTTGACATTGCCTGCATGTTGAGTTGAATAATTGAAAATATACGGTGGAATGCATTAATTGTAGATGCTCTGGATTCTAATTTGCCACAGCTCCAGTCTTCTCACATCTCCTCTTCCATTCCTCTGCATCTCCACTCATTTTTTTGGTAAGATTTACTTCATCTATCTCAGCTAATCCCAGCTTTCAAAAAACGTCCGGATACTGATTGGTTGCACATATCTACACATTTAGTGTAGTCTAGAAAGAAACTGTTATTCCACATGTTGTAGCTTATATCAGGTTAATCAGACATTTTTTTTCTTTATTTTTTTTTTATTTTTTTAATTTTTTTTTACCAAAATGCAAGTAGACAATCAAGTTTCAGGACTTTTCAATGTGTGCCCCATCAGATTAACACGAGTGACACAAAAAAAGACAGCTGCAATATTCACTATTAAACGAAAAACTGGATTGCAATGGAGGAACTAAATAACTGAAAACAGAAACTTATTTGTCTTGTTTGTTGAAGAAGAGTGGAAATTACAATTAGGCTTCCTCTCAGATAAAGATGTGTGTATCTCCGTGTTTCTGTTCCAGCACAAATGATTCAAACGACTGTGCCATCATGTGCTGCAGAAGCCTGTTAATCGCCCATTCCTGTAAGTCTGGTACAGATACAATGTGAAATAGTTCAAAAATACAAGTTTTTATTTTTATGTTTGCAAAACACTGCATGTATAAAAATTGATAAGTAAAGTTTAACGGCTCACACATGGTTGATGTAACATGCTAATTTGGGGGATTTTTTTTTTGTGCTAAAAATAAAGGTCATAAAGCAGAACCTCCACCGCGGCTGGAAACCAGAGTTTCTTTAGAAACCGACACATTTATGTAGAAACGCATAAACTCAAGGCAAAAGGTCCAGCTGTAATTCAATCAATGAGTCTTAAGAG